CTGTTGCTAAGTTTTTTTAACTTTTTATCTCTGACATTCTTTTTGACCCTCTATGAAACTATTATATTGTTAAATGAACTACCATACCCTGACCTAGACGCTACCCAGATGTGCTTACTCAGAAGGTGATCAATTTTTGAGGATATCCACATCCATCTTCCCACATATTTTTCACAAAGTTTGCAATTATTATTATTATGATATTTATAGAGCGCCATCAAATTCCGCAGCGCTTTACAATGGGTGGACGAACAGACATGTAGTTGTAACCAGACAAGTTGGACACACAGGAACAGAGGGTTGAGGGCCCTGCTCAATGAGCTTACATGCTAGAGGGAGTAGGATAAAATGCCACAAAAAGGTAAAGAAACATAGAAACATAGAAACATAGAATGTGACGGCAGATAAGAACCATTCGGCCCATCTAGTCTGCCCAATTTTCTAAATACTTTCATTAGTCCTAGCCTTATCTTATAGTTAGGATAGCCTTATGCCTATCCCACGCATGCTTAAACTCCTTTACTGTGTTAACCTCTACCACTTCAGCTGGAAGGCTATTCCATGCATCCACTACCCTCTCAGTAAAGTAATACTTCCTGATATTATTTTTAAACCTTTGTCCCTCTAATTTATGTCCTCTTGTTGTGGTAGTTTTTCTTCTTTTAAATATAGTCTCCTCCTTTACTGTGTTGATTCCTTTATATATTTAAATGTTTCTATCATATCCCCCCTGTCTCGTCTTTCCTCCAAGCTATACATGTTAAGATCCTTTAACCTTTCCTGGTAAGTTTTATCCCGCAATCCATGAACCAGTTTAGTAGCCCTTCTCTGAACCCTCTCTAAGGTATCAATATCCTTCTGAAGATACGGTCTCCAGTACTGTGTAAAGGTAAGCAATAGCTATAGCGTGGGTGGAGGTCACCTTATACAATGTTTTTCACTCTTCTAATCTTATCTTCTGTGTCCATATACTTTTAATCCTAAAAACCCTCTCTCCGCTCCCCACTCACATATAATGTCTGTATGTAATACTTGATTCCCAATGTTGTATTTATGTCGATTTGCTTTCTGTTGACTACTCAATAGCAGTGTCAGACTAGTGGCGGATCCAGGGGGGGGGCAACGGGGCAATTGCCCCCCCCGAGAAATCCGCCGGTCTCCCTCTCCCTCCCCTGCCAGCATGCAGGCACTGTGCTGAGAGCCGGCAGGGGAGGGAGGGAGTGAGAGAGAGGACCCGGAGCTCAGTCTGCAGCTCCTCCGGGTCCTCCTCTCGTGAGATTTGAAGCGTTGCCGCGGTTACCACGGCAACGCTCCAAATCTCGCGAGAGTGAACACACTGCCCCCACATACACATACTGCTCCCCCATACACACATACTGCTCCCCCATACACACATACTGCCCCAATTCACACAAACTGCCCCCCATACACACACACTGCCCCCCATACACACATACTGCTCCCCCATACACACATACTGCCCCCATTCACACAAACCACCCCCCATACACACACACTGCCCCACATACACACATACTGCCCCACATACACACACACACTGCCCCCATATACACACACACACTGCCCCCATACACACACAAACTGCCCGCCATACACACAAACTGCCCCCATACACACAAACTGCCCCTCATACACACGCACTGCCCCCACATACACACACTGCTCCCACATACACACATAGTGCCCCCATTCACACATACTGCCCCCCATACACACACTGCCCCCCATACACACACACTGCAACGGCAACACTCCAAATCTCGCGAGAGAGAACTCTCCCTGCTGGGACCACCAGGTAATCACCACTGGACCACCGGGGAAACGTTCCCCCTCCCCCCCAGTAAAGGTAAGAAGGGAGGGGGGACATAGAATATGTATTTGAATTAAATTAAAATATATATATTATTTTAAAAAAGCCCCCCTATCCTTATCCCACACACACACGCTACACACATACACTGCCCCCCATACACACATACTGCCCCCATACACACATACTGCCCCCACACACTGCCCCCCCATAAACACACACACTCTACACACATACACTACCTGATACACACACATACTGCCCCCCTCACACACACACACACACTGCACCCCTTACACATTGCACCACTCACATACACCACTGCTCCTATGCCCTACTACAGCCCCATTTCCCAGCAGATCTCAGGTAAGTTGTCAAACTGTTCTTAAACGGTTTGACTACTTACTGTGGGAGGGGGTCCCGGCACTATTGACACCATAACCACTACACTGAGCTGTAGTGGTTATTGTGTCTGGATTATTTCTTTAAATAATCTACAAGTGCCCCTCCCGAGATCAGGCTCTGGATCCGCCACTGTGTCAGACTAAAATAAAGAATTTAAAAAAGCAACAGGAGGCACAAAACCAAAATAAATGACAGAAATTTAATCCACCTGTGTGGAACTGGCAACGTTTTGACCTAATGTCTGGATCTTTATCAGACAGACAGAAAGACAGCCAAATAGATGAGGAAAACACTCAGTAAATAATTGTATGGCGGTTTTATTGTTTCCATAACACAAGTAGCATTTTCATTTACACATATGTCCCTTTAAAAGACACACATGATTCTTTCACGTTACAGGTGACTTTTTTATGTATACATACCTCTTTATCAAAGGGGGATAATTCATATACATCTCTCATCCCATGTTCATGGGATGCTTACAGCACTGTGTGTTTTTTTTTATTCTGAAAGCCAGAGCTGTCGACGACTTTATTTCAGAGTGCAGGATAATAAATAAAAACCCACTGTTTATATTGTAAATATACTGTAGATTGTTTTATTAGTTAATAGAAACTTTTTTTTTTTTTTTTTGCAACCATGTTCTGTTTGTGTCTGGAATTTTGATTCAACATCAAGGACAGACTTTGATATTCTACAGTATTTTGAGAAGTTACCATCAAATACACTTAATTAGCTTGTCAAGTACCCTAGTTATCTAGCATTTCTCAGCCAATTTGTGGGTAATAAAATGCAAAGTAAACAAAGTGAGAGAGTCCACAATATCTGCCTATCTTGCCTTTTTTACTGCCTGGGAGGAAAAAACTAGATTGTCCCAAGTGATTCTAGTTTTATTCTCTTTGAAGCTAAGTGACCCTTTTCTAGATTAAATCTCTTCCTATTAGGTTAACAGATTTATTACATATCTTCCTTTACAATACATGTTGATCTAATCGTACCCGATACCCTCATTAACAAACTCAACACCTTATATAACCATGCTTATATACCATTGTTTATAACCAACTAATTTCTATTTTTAAATGACTTGGACCATAAATAGATAGATACTTGGGTACTTATGTTTATTACTAGTAGTGTAAGTGATTTTTTTTCTTTTTTTTTCTGTACAGGTGTAACATAACGAGTTCTGCTTTGTAGTTCTGCCCATTCTAGTACATATATAAAATTATATTTTAATTTCACTAGTATACGTTGTCGTAAAAACACTGTACTATCATCTACCTTCATGCAGTAAGGTTGAATTGTCAATGTGCAGACAGTTACTATATTTTGTACAAAAGGATTTTTCTCCCCTGTATATCTACAAATACCATACTCTGACTTGAGGAATTACTAGCTAAAATATAATACATCATTCGATTTCTTTCTCTCTATAACTTTCCCGTGTAATACCATCATTTTCTGCACTTTTGGAATAATGGCTGTTTATTGTTGATAACTCCAGTTGTATCCAAGATTTCTGCTTTACCTTGGATGGATGAATCTATTTTTCAAGCAGCGCACTTATAACAATTGAAAGCCATTACAATTTGAAAATCACATTTATTATGCTTCCTTTATCAAATCTATCCAGAAGTTCTTCCATTTAAAATATTTTATTTTTTATATATTTTTGTTTTATTTTATTTTTATTTTAACAACATTGACATGGTATTTTTTTTTATTAAAGGTAACATTTCTGAATTTAGAAAGTAAACAGCAGATTGCATTTATTAGCAAAGATAGAAAAAAAAGTATAACAAATAAATTATAATAAATGCAAGGTTTTTTTCTACCAAAAATAGAAATCAAGCTTTGAAAAACTGCAGGATGTGGTAAAAGAGGAAAAGAATGGATAAGCAGGATTCTTATTCATCTTTGTCCAAAATCAATTTTATTCACTGCTGGTCGCTGGCATTGTTTGATGATATGACACTGTAACGGAGTATCACTGTATCCAGAACGGAGATTCCCAATTTAGTTGAGTCTTGAAGGAACTAAAAGAATTGGTCCTTTATCTCAAAATCACACAGAATAAGTAGCAGTTAAATTTCAAATCATGTTGCCCTTCTGATTTATCATCATAGCATGGTCTCACTAAACTGTCTGACATCAAGCAGTCCAATATGTCCTGTCACGCAGGAGGAAAGAAAGAAAGCGAGAGACCCTATTGGATAATGCCCTGAGTTCTATCTTGCAGTGATTTATGTCTGTCACAAAGCTTAATTTTATCACAAGGCAGATGCTCTGTCTGTATCCATTCAATGCATTTCTGCAATCTGCATTCTCTCATGGTATTAAAACAATTTCGCTTCTTCATTCACTCTTGGGTTTGTGCTCGGTTGATGTAGTCCTGATTCAGTTTGGAGTCATACTTGTTATTTTAGATTTTTTTTTTGCCTTTTTTAATGAAATTGAAAAATGGAAACAATAGAAACATTACAATGACCATTTATCAAAGTACTCCAGCTGCCAAACTAGAAGACGGACTGGTTCAAAACCAGATGTGATAGATTTATCAATTAAGATTTTCTTTTTTCCTGCTTTTTCTTAGTACATAACAAGCCAGATTTTATTTCTGTTTTTTTTTTAAATTTATTTATTTACTTTTGATAAATAACCCAAACAAATTAGCATAGATTTTAAATAATGGCTATTGTAGTATATTTTGTGGCTTCAGCGTAAAATGTGACAAAACAGCTTAAAAAAGTATACATTACTCCTGCAGTGTCTATGGGGATTTTAAATTAGGTGCTTTTTCTAAGCATGGGTAAGTAATCCGATAATAAAAAGCACTGGCAGAGGAGATGTTTTAAGTGGCTCTGTCACTTCTCAATATTTCTAAAAGATATTATCTTTGTGAAATACTGATGTTGACTGCATTTGCATTTGAATTCCAACACAAGCCATAGACACCATAAGACAAAGTAAGGACTATTTTGTCTTATGGTAATTCTGAGGTTAACACAATTTGACAAAAAGTGGATCTCAGCCGTCAACGTTTGTCCAATCTCAGCAGACATTTCACGCCTATCGAAAGACGTCATCTATGGAGACTCCTGTTATCCTCCTTAGAACTAAACATTATCCTTCATAGAGTGTTCTGCTCTTGCACATGCACGTGATCATAGCACTGACACAGCTCCTGGCAAATGAAGGTCTAGGAGCTAAAGAAGACCAAGAGGAAGAAGATGGTGAGGGACAGCTTTAGGTAAGTAAAAACTACTTTCAACTGCAACTCTCGGCCACCTAAACTAAACAGTCAATGTCACCTTCAGGGGTCTTTGCAAATTATACAGGTGACATATACACTTTAAATTTGACATGTCCAATCCTACAGCCACTGCTATCACGGTGGTGAAAAGTCAAGAATTGTGTTATGTGTGAGTGGGATGTATGATCATAACTACAGGAAAGAGATGAAGGAAATCGTTGTTGCATAACTACATATATCATGTGCTTTGCTTATACAGAGGTTGTATTATCACTCCAGTAATTTAGGTTCCTCCATAGATTTTTCTCCTTACGATAAAATGATTAGGGGCAGTCAGATTTAGAAAAAGCACTAACATTAAGAGTACAAAACTAATGCTGCATACATGTGTGTCCCCTACACACATATTTCCAATAATAAAAAAAACAAATAAGTTTTACTTAGCTTTGCTGCTCACTATTCCTTTAGTGATGGCCAGTCCAATGCTCCTTAGAGAGGAGCACATGGACCAGATGTACATGCATGACAAGGGCATGCTTCCCAGCTTCCCCATAGGAATGCTTTACTATGAGCTTATGTTTATGTGACCATGTTTTACTTGGTCAGTGCAGTGGAAGCCCCTCTAAGGGCTGCCGGTTGACTAGAGGTATGACTTAAGGTGGATTTAACCCGACAACGTAAACAATGCTAAAACAATGTTTTGCATTGCAGGGTTCAAAGTACAGGGCCACTGCACCCAGACCAGTTCATTGAGGAGAAGTGGTCTGTGTGACTTCAGTGTTACTTTAAAGGTTGGGCTCCTCCTCCGCTGACATCAGCCAATGGGGAAACCTAGTGCTCATGTGCGGTGAGTCCCGCACACATATTAGGCCTTCCCCATAGGAAAATATTGGCTCAATGCTTTCCTATGGGGATTTTGAAGACACTGGATGTCCAGCATCATTTCACAGAGACAGCCACTAGAGGCAGTCTTAACACTGCAATGTAACACTGGAGTTTCGGTAACATTGTAATGTTGGGTCAAGGTAACAGGGACAGTGCAACCAGACACTTATGCAAACCAAGATGAAATGTTAAATAACTAATAATAAGTCAATTATGGCTGACCAAAAGCAATATGTTAGTCAAATATGGTATGGGATGCATTCCATAACTCAAATATGATAAAGCAGATATAAAATGTGTGTGTGTGTGTGTGTGTATATATATATATATAAATCTTGCGGAAGATCCGAACGGTCGAAACATCGATCGTTTTTGATGTAATACCTCTACTTGGAATAAATTCTTATTTATCTATATAAAAGAGAGTGCATTTATTCATTCACATATATATATATATATATATATATATATATATATATATATCTACATATATATAAAATGATGCAGCCTATTTAGCTTGTTTGCACAATTTTGAGATGTCATATTGTGCCACTTTGTTTGTGAGTGTGCTTTTAAATATAATTATTATTTCAAACTTCGTAATAAATACTACACTATGTAATTTAATATTGCTTATTTTTCATGTTCCAACGCTGGATTTGAGTGGTAAATATATTTGCTCCATTGTGATTGTGGCACCCTATGTTGTGGACCATAGTGGTTCTACATATTTTTGTTTTTCTTCAAAAGTACAAAGATGAATACATAGTGTAGACAATTGAAAGGCAAAATAAAACATCCCTTTAAATGATTCCCTTAAGATAACATCACTCTGAAAGGTCTGGTCTTCCCGATACGAGGAAGTTTTAGTGTCATTCAGTCACTCATAGTTTGTGATTTGCTCTCTTAAGGAAATTATTTTAAAGGGATATATTGTGCACTATGAATTTGTTCTTTTTATTTTGAAGGTATTGATGTGGAAGCAAGTATACAAGCTATATAAATAGCTGGATTAGTACATTTACTTATATTTTGTGCACGATACATTTGGATTTTGCTTTCTAGTCTCCGTGGTTGAGGCACTGTACATATTGATTTCACCTTTAAATTGCATATGAATTGCACAAATTTCTGACTGTTTTAGCACCTTCATAAATATATTGCATATGGTTGTTTTATGTTTTTTGCCACTTTATTAAATTATTTAAATTTGTATTGCTCTTTCCAGAACACTTGTTGTACTTTAAATACTAGCACATGTATACATCACCTTATAAGTACACATATTGCTACATTTAACACAGATTACTTTTTTTTTTTTCTTTCATATTTTTGCAGTGCATAAGTTAGGTACAGGTATGCTTGAGGTACCCAGACGGCACTCCTTAGGCTAAATATCACATATTACAAATGTGGCAGGAGGTATATCATGCACAAATTTTAAATAGTTGAAGCAGGATTGACAGAAGAGAAACAAAGAGTGAATTCACATGAAATATATGCTGGATCATCTGATTATAAGCTCATAGCACGTTTAAGTAAGCTAGTAGTGATTATGCTAGACAAGCTACATAAATTTAGGAATAAAAGCATGAGATCAATAGGCTAAGTGTGTAGGAGAATCGTGACTCGGTGCGTGCTAGTGGATGCGTGTGAGTTTGACATATGTGCTAAACATACGAAAATGTGCTCCATGCGGTTCTCCTTGTACCCTGTTTGCTGGCTCTCATGCAGGTCCCCTCTGTCAGTGGGTTAGTCTTTCATCTAACACCCCTGCAAGGTGTGTGTCTTATATTGGGGCTCAATCTCTCTGGGGAGTATCATGGCGTATTGGAGGTGAGGCTTTCCTTCCGCCCCGGTGCTCTGTCAGAGCTGGTACCCTCTTGCCAGGAGCCTGGGTTCCGTTGTGGTCCAGGGATGGTGTGATGGGTCTTGTTGTCTTTCTCCGGTCGTCGTCGCTTGTATCTTGCTACTCTTCACTAATAATTGTTTGCTGTTTTGTACCATCCTAATCCTGCATCCTAATAATCTGATTTGTTTGTCCACTAGGCAAGATATACATGTTTTTCTGCCTTTTAATTTTTATAAATAAGTGTGATGGAAGCCACCAGGAGATATAGATCTTATTACTTTGGTTTGAACTAAATAATTGTGTAGTCTTATATTGTTATCATCAATAATAATTGTACAGCATCAAGGCAAACTATTTTTTTAAATACATGGCATGGAATTATTAGAGCTATTACAAGTTCAAGAGGAGAAAAATAAACTAGATTTTACTGTATCTTTGAAAATGCCTTATGGGATCCCACAGACATTTTTGCCAAACTTAAGTAACATTAAAACACACATCTTAAATCCATTGCTAGATTTACATTCCATGAGCCTCTAGACACAAATGTATAAGGGCTTTCCCATAAGTGCATGGGTAAACCGTTGGGCATGGTATACATTTCAAGGGGAGCGAATCCCTTTTCCCCATCTACAGACACTCACGATGGATATTGTTGCATTGTAATAGCCTCTAAACAAAGCATATTATGAATCCATATAAAAGTATGCGTTAGATAAAGTGATGTATCGGCCCCAGTGGCTGTTTTCTCGCATCATCCATTGGTTTTCATGTGGTTTACATGTATAATAACTACATTTGACAACAGCACAGCAACATAAATCATAAAACGCAAGAAAAAATTATGTCCAGTCAACATTTCCCTATTTCAATACGTATTTTGTGATGTAACAGATGATTGCGACACGAATTATACCATTTGAAAATGGAAATTTTGCATCTCTCGAAGTCATATTATAGGAAAAATATCTGCAACTATATGGATCAAATAATGCAAAGAAGTATTAAACATGAAGAATTGTACAATCTTCAGCAATTCATGATGCTTGAATATAAGTCTTGTAGGGTAGACTGTCAAAGCAATGTATTCAAAAGGTTAATATGAGTGCAAAATGACAAGAGAGGGATGAGCTGTGTATCCACAAAGTCTATTTATATTTAGAAAAGTCAAAGCTTGTTTGATCAGGGCCTTCTTCATATTCCCTTTCTATAATTGTAAAGCACTGGGGAATAGGTTAATGTTTTAAAATGCTAATAATAAATGAATATATTGTATTGTAAATATACATTTGATGGGTCCTGTATCTTAATGAAAGTTAGATAGCATATAAAATGATTTTATACACTTAATGTTTACATATATAGAAGGCATATGTATACATACATGTGTCTTTTATGTAAGAATAGAAAGCATGTTAACTAATTGTCCAACGATGAAAATCTTTATATTAATTATGAACAAATTATCTATAGCCCCCATATAGTCACTTTGTCCCATAAATGCTGTCAAATGTGCTTCATGTATATTGATCCCATATATACTAACAGTTCCCACATATACTAAACCATATATTGCAACATAGGAACTTACACAAGCACAGTTCAAGCTTTACTGTGTTGCATACTCTTGCAATTAACAAGTTGCGTACTCTTGTAATTAACAGGTTGCGCACTTTTGTAATTAATTTAAAATCAAATTGTAACTTGTAGATCAAAATGTTTGTTTTGGAAAACGTCTTCAACTAAACTACACTGATAGCATAATTATTTTAGCCTGATTTTATGTATTTCACCTTAAAATTCTCCATAACTACTCAGTAGTAATAATATGTAAAACAAGCGGATTCTTAGACTTCTCCTCAGGGAAGTCTAAGGTTTAAAAAAAAAAAAAAATGTCCTGACACTTATAAATGTCCTGACTCGACACGATAATATATCAGTGTGTTTCTGTAGGGTGGATAGCAGGTGTTAGA